AGAGCGCATTTGTAGACATTGAAATTTTGTGGGACTCTACATTCAATTCGATTTGGGACTCTAGAAGGTGTGTTCAGTTTCAATTAGAATTCCTATAGGCTACTCAACCTTAAATCCTAGTTTATGCCTATATAAATGGTACTAAATTCTCTTAAAAGACATCTCAAAATATCCCATAAACTCTTGGGTATTTTAAAGATCAAGATCTCGAATATTTCGCAAATTAATGGAATATTCATATAGAGATCAAACCTAAATCATCATAGTTCGAGAAATACGCTACTAACGACCCTGGAATCATGGATAAATCTTATGAGAGTAGAATCAAGGGAGGAACATAATTGTACCCGCAATCTATCTTTATCAATAAAGTTATGTTTCTTCATATTTTATTTGTGATTGTAATTTATTTTCTGTCACTTTAAAATTTGTTACAAACAAATTGGCACTCCCAATGGAACCAAATTTGCCCTTCATCTCTTCTCTCTTAAATCAAATATGAAAATCTGAAGATGCAAAGATGGAAAAATGAGTACTTCAAGCCTCATCTTTGAGTTCCATCAAGTCTACACTCCGACAAGCCTTGAAGCAGAGGGCATTTGTAGACATTGAAATTTTGTATGACTCTAAAAGATGCGTTCAATTCGAGTTGGGACTCTACAAATTGTGTTTAACTCAAATTAGGATTCTTGGAGGCTACTCAACCCTAAACCCTAGTTCACGCCAATATAAAGGGTACAAAATTCCCTTTAAATGCATCTCAAAATATCCCATAAAGTCTTGGGTATTTTTAAAGATCAAGATCTCAAATATTTCATAAGTTGATGGAATGTCCTTATAGAGGTCAAATCTAAATAATTCTAGTTCGAGAAATACGCCACTAACGGCCCTCGAATCATGGATAAGTCTTAGTTGAGTTTAATCAAGGGAGGAACATAATTGTACCCGCATATTTATCAATATATTCATGTTTCTTCAGATTTTATTTGTGTGGTTTATTTATTTTCCATATGTTTAAAATTTGTTGCAAACACACACGATTCTCAATTGGCCGAATAAAAATATATAGAAGAATTAACATGTCAAACAAATATGAACAGTTCTATTAACATGACGTTACAAAACTTGTAATCCAGATAAACATCCTCACAATAGCATTTAACGTAATACTCAAGGTTAAGCTAAGTACTAGGAAAGGAGATTTAAATGCAGACTTCAAGTCACCAGAAGTCCCAAGAATTCTTCACCTGTATAATTATAACAAAAGAGATGAGAGCTGGTGAGTAAACTGCAAATGTTGAAAATTAGCAATTCTTTAAGCAATTAAGCTCACAGCAGTAACCACAACTCCTAAAACATTAAAACATAACACTTTGATGATTCATTAACCTTAATCTCTTATAAAACAATTTGGCAGTTTCTCAGAACAAATTTAACCCAAGGGAAGAATGACATGTATCTCAAATAAACCAGAAAATGAACTGCTTACTCAAAACACATAGCAAAACACTGAGAATTCATTGCTATAAGTGAGAAAATTGCACATTGTAAAATGTTAGTTCGACACACTGTTGATTAGTGTCGGAAATGAATCTACGAAAATATTCACCTATTTCACTAAAATCAACAAAACTACATAATACAGATTATTTGTAAACAGAAAACAGTGCAATATATATACAAACAAAAAGCAACTGCAGACCTGTTGGTTTGTGTCTGGAACAACTCCATGAAAACATTTACCCATTTCACTAAAATCAACAAACTACACAGTGCAGATTATTTCAAAACAGAAAACAGTGCCATCTATATACAAACAAAAAGCAACTGATGGGTCTCTACCTTGTAAAAAAGGAATAACTTCAAATACACTTGAAAAACTCAGCACCAAAACTTCATTATCAGAAACATTTCAAACATCATCCAGTAGAAAGCTAACCTCAATAAATCAATCAAAATTGTTCTTTGATGAGTTTTATTCTTGACTTGGAATGCTTTTCCACCTCTACAATGAGATTTTCTTTGATACTACTTATACAATATAAAAACAAATTATTATCTTGAACAATGTGACATGTCAAATGCTGTCACATAAAGTTAGATAGAGACCGACGTAGTACACTTCCTAGAAAAACTTAAGCCTTCCATTGTTGCTACTTGTTAGTTGATTCCTAAAGTATGCTAATATATTTATAACGGTCTTAATCTTATAGATGTGAATTAGACATAAAACTATTGGTTCTACTATAACAAATAAGCAGTAATGATACTTGAAGACTACTGTCAGAAATTTAAACATGTTATAACATCAGAAGCAACATCTTAAAATGTCTAGAAGTTAATCATCTACCCTTGACATGACGACCGGGAAGTCCACATTATCCTTTTGATCTTTGACCACCATAGCTTGAAAAAACTGCCTATATCCATTACCCATCTTGGCTAAAAAGATAAGAAAGTACATGTGGTCACGACAGCCATATCCCTTCACCTTCCGAACTCTCTCAAACACATAGTCCGTGCCCTACAACGAGTACAAGCAAACTTTCTTAGCTTTCTGAACAATACAAACAAAGGAAAAGGGAAGGAAATGAAAAGTGTGATTAGAGCACAAAATAATAGTGGATAAGAAAGACAGCATGAGTTACTAGATCATACCTTATCATCATTATATTTCTTAAGTGCTCCTTCAGCATAACCCCTCAACATCCTTCTTTTTTTACGATCACGTAAGTAGTGGCGTAGGGGATAGGAGGGCAGCAGGCGTCGCCCAGGATATTTTTTGTATTGTTTTTTAACATCAATACGCTATCAAATACAATGAGACAACCATCACTAATTAAATTGCATCAAACTTGTTCTTATAGCTAGTTATTTCAGGGGAGTGCCTTAGAATGTTTTTTATTTGCGGTACAAACTGATACTTTCTTGTTGATTGTGCATTGACATAAACCAGGTGATTAGTAGTAGTGAACTTGAACTATTAACTAAAAGGTAAGTAACTAAGATACAACTAGTTAACTTGTATAAAAATTGTCATGTAGCAGCTAAAGCACAACAAAACCAAAGGTAAAGGCAACTAGGTGATGCATCTAAGTATTTCAGGGAAAAAAGAATAGAGTAAGCTACCTCGCTCTCATCAACCTGTTGGAAGTAGGTCACCCAAAAAGGTACATTGCATTCCACTTCTGAATCATAGTCAGATCCTCTGGATATAACCTGCTCACCCTCAGAACTTTCACCTTCGTCGTCGGTGCTATTGTCATCTTCATTAGATACACATTCCTCAATTTTGTCCTCGATGCTTTCGATTTCTTTGTTCACCAGCGGGGCATCCAGTAAGTCTGGGAAGTCTACCCTCTGAAAATCCGGCACACCCAGGTATGCGTATATACAGATTAATGATAGCTAGGTGATGCATCTACGTATTTCAGAAAAGGAAATAGAGTCATCTACCTCGCTAATAGAATTATCGGATTCTAGTTCTGAATCATAACCCACACCTTCGTCGTCGGTGCAATTGTCATACTCATTATTAGATACATAATACTCACTTTCGTCGTCGCTGCTAACCGGCGAGCAATCCGATTCGACTGGGAAATCTAGCCCCTGATAATCCGGTACGGCCCGTCGCATTGGGTGCAACAATGGGGGCAGTGGCGGTGCCGGTGGGTGCAAATGTACACGTTCCATGACTTCTCTCTCAGCCGCTGATGTGCAAAAAGGAGAGTTACAACTTACAACATACACTCTCCGTCCAATTTTACTTCTTATTTATTTTGAAATAAATTTTCAATTTTATTTGACACTTTTCACTTATAAATGATATGGAGAATGTTATTTATTCTAGGGAAAAGGCTCAAATATGCCATCGAACTTTCAGAAAAGGCTCATTTATGCCATCCGTTAAAAATTTGGCTCATCTATGCCATTACCGTTTAAGAAAAGGCTCATTCATGCCATTATTTTTTAACGGTGGTTTTACAAAACCATTTTTTACACGTGGCCAATTATAATTCGGCCACGTCATTATTTTTTTTCAGAATTTTGATTTTTTATTATAAAAAAAATAATGACGTGGCCGAATTATAATTGGCCACGTGTAAAAAATGGTTTTGTAAAACCACCATTAAAAAATAATGGCATGAATGAGCCTTTTCTTAAACGGTAATGGCATAGATGAGCCAAACTTTTAACGGATGACATAAATGAGCCTTTTCTGAAAGTTCGATGGCATATTTGAGCTTTTTCTCTTTATTCTAAAATAAATTTTCATTTTTATTTGTCACTTTTGACATATAAATGATATGGAGAATAATTTCATACCAAATTTCAATTTAGTAATGCTTGTCGTGTTTTACTACACTATCCCTACTAATTAATGTTTAATATTAGCTCTTGAAATGATATGACAATAATTTCATACCAGATTTCAAGTCACATACACCTAGATACATGTTTTGGCGAGATTTGTCCATAGGAGAGTGGCGAGCGAGATGAGAGAGAGGCGAGTGAAATTTGTTAATGTATTCGGATACGTGCAAATTCATTCAAATGTAATGTATCTAGAGCAAATTACACCTATTTTTGACTCCATATATCTCGAGATACTTGTATGTGATATTTGGACGCGTTAAAATCTGATAAGATGTGCTTCTCTCTTTTGCATCATTCCTAATGGACATGCAAATTCATTTAGATATAATGTATCTAGAGAAAATTACACATTTTTGATTTCATATATCCCAAAATACATGTGAATTTATTTGGACGAGCTAAAATTTGATAAAATATGTAATATTATTGACTAGCATTTATCTAACTAATTAGCTCCTATATTGGTAGGATTTCTATAAGTTGTACTCTTATTACAAAGAAAAAGGTGTCAGTACTTGAGTAAATTAAACACATCCATTTGAATAGAGTATTGATGCAAAAGAGAGAAACACATTGTTTCCTTAAATTTAAGGTCAAATCTCATTGTTTCCATATTTTTCACATCAGATACACTCCATTACTATTTTAACATGCCCAACAAAAATATGAACAAGGAAGTCAAATAACATAGTGAAATTTACATCCAACAGCATCTGCGACAATATCTCTTCACCTGTACAATAACAAAAGTAATAAGAGTTGGTGAGTAAACTGCAAAAGCTGAAAATTAGCCATTCTATGAGCAATTAAGCTAAAGCTATAACAGGAGAGCCACAACACTCGTAGCAGCACATTAACAGAATACATGATCATCACGTTTCTTTCTTAGTACCAATCTTTTTCCCTTAAAATAACATAGCAGTTTCTCAGAACAAAATTAAACCAGGGGAAGAATGACACGTATCTTTAATTCAACCAAGAAAAACTGCATAATCAAAGACACAAAGCAACACCGAGAATTCATTGTTATAGGTGAGAAAATTGCACATTGTAAAATATGAGTTCCACGCACTGTTGATTAGTGTCGGGAATAACTCTATGAAAACATTCATCTGTTTCACTAAAATCAACAAACTACATCGTATGGATTATTTGAAAACAGAAAACAGAGCAATTTATATACAAACAACAAAAAGCAACTGGTGGATCTCTACCTAGTAAAAAAAGGAATAAGTTTGCATATATTTGAAAAATTCAGCACCAAAACTTCATTATCTAAAGCATTTCAAACAACATAGAGTAGAAAGCTAACATCAATAAATCAATCAAAATTGGACTTTGATGTGGTTTTACTTTAACTGGAATACTTTTCAACCTCTATAATGAGATTTTTTATACACACATTATTATCTTGAACGGTGTCACAAGTCAAATGCTGCCACATAAAGTTTGATAGAGAATGTAGTAGACTTTCTAGAAAAACTTATTCCTTCCATTGTTGCTAATTGGTTCCTACGTCATGTAAATATGTTTATAACTGGCCTTAATCTTATAGAGGTGGATTAGACTTAAAAACTCTTGGTGTTCTATAATGCATACACAGTTATGATACTTGAAGACAACCTTAGAAATTTAAGCATGTTAAATCATCACAGAAGCAACATCTTAAAATGTCTAGTAGCTAAATATATACCCTTTTCCTGACGACCAGGAAGTCCAAATTATCCTCTTCATCTGGGATCACCATAGCTTGAAAATAGTATCTTTCTTCATCATCCGTCTTGGCTAAAAAGATAAGATAGTAAATGTAGTCACGAGAGCCACCTCTCTTCACATTCAGAATTCCCTCAATTACATGGTTGGTGCCCTAGAATGAGTACAAGTGAACTTTCTTAGCTTTCTGAACAAAACAAAAAAAGGAAGAGCGAAGGGAATGAAAAGTGTGATTAGAGCAAACTTTTTTCTATGGATAGGAAAGATAGCAAGAGTGACTAGAGCATACCGTATCATCATGGTATTTCTTAAGTGCACTTTCAGCATAACCCTTCAACATCTTATACTTTTTACGGATACGTAAGTAGCTTGGAAGGGGATAGAAGTTAGGCAGCGGGGGCGGCCCAGGATAATCTTTAATATCAAAACCCTATCAAAATACAATGAGACAAACATCACTAAATTGCATAAAACTTGTTATTTCAGGCAAGTGGCTTAGAATGTTCTTCATTTGTCATACAAACTAATGGTTACTTGTTGACTATACAATGCCATCAACCATGTGATTAGAAGTAGTGGACTCGAACTATTAACTAAAAGGCAAGTAACTAAAATGCACCTAGTTGACTTGTATACAAATAGACATGTAAAAGCAGCTAAAGCACAACAAGCCAAAGGTAAAGGCATATGTACATACAGATTCATGAGAATTAGGTGATGCATCTAAGTATTTCCGGAAAAATAATAGATTCAGCTACCTTGCTCTCGTAGACCTGTCTGAAGTAGCTCTCCCACATAGGTTTATCGTGTTCTAGTTCTAAATCATAGTCCGTATTCTGGACTATCCTCTGATTACTAACATCATCCTTATCTTCGTTGTTGGTGCTATTGTCATCTTCATTTGATACATAATCCTCACTTCCGTCCTTGCTGCTATCACTTTCTTCTTTCACCGGCAGGGAATTCAGTACGGCTGGGAAATCTACACCCTGAATATCCCGTACGGCCAAGGTAAAGCCATATGTATATACAGATTATTGAGAACTAGGTGATGCATATAAAACATGTTTGGATCGTTTTTACCTATTGTATAGCATTGTTTCATTAGTTTAAATACAATGTTTGTTTCAATTCATACTTAATGATATAATCTATTCATAGAAACAATACATTATGAACCAATACGTAACAACTGTCCAAACAAAGTGTAATTACTTCAGAACAAAGAGGAACAGAGTAAGCTAATTCATCGACCTGGTTATTGTATTCTGGATCTGAATCATAACCCTCACCTTCGTCGTCGGTGCAATTGTTAGATTCATTAGATACACAATACTCACTTTCGTCGTCGCTGCTAACCGGCGGGGAATCCGATTCGGCTGGGAAATCTAACCCCTGAAAATCTGGTACGGCCGATCGTCGCGGGCACAATAATGGGGGCAGTGGTTGCTGCGAACGTACAGATTTCATGGCTCCGCGATGAGTAAAACTCGGGAGGGTGGTGGGCATGAGTATGGTATTGGTAGCTATTGAAAATTTCTATTTTATAATTTTAGTTTTCCGTTTCTAAAAATATTATATTAAATTAATTTAATATTTTTGAGATTTTGATACTTTATGATACGGTAAATTGATAATTGTATTTTGCTCACTAATATATATATATATATATATATATAAGAGAATCTTAGTCCCGCGGGCTGCGTATGTGGCGCCACCACAAACAAGAATTTCTTTTAATTTATTTATTTCTAAAACTAGCTTTCCCTTTTAATGAAAAGTTGTGACTTTTATGAAAAATTGTGACTTTAATGAAAAGTTGTGACATTTATGAAAGGTTGTAACATTTATGAAAGTTTGTGATCTTTCCGAAGAGTTGTGACATTTCCAAAGAGTTAGACATTTCCAAAAAATTGTGACCTTTCTGATAAGACACAATAAATATTTATTCACACTACACTTTGTTCTCTATAAATAGAGGGGATTCCTCTCATTTTAAAACAACGAAAATTCTAAACTTCTTCTTATTCTTGTGCATAATTAAATATTTTATGTACTTTGTTACTGTTGAATGACTCATTGACACCATTGTGTTTATATCAATACATTGTGAATAAAATTGTTTCATCCTGAGAGGATCTATTTCATTAAACATCGGGTACTAAAGGAGAATAATTTCATGAAAGGGGAAGACTAGTATATATATAAAAGAAAACATTAGGCCCGCCTACGTGGCGTCACCACAAACTAGAATTCCCTTATAATTTATTTATTTTCAAAACTAGTCTTCCCCTTTCTTGAAAAGTTACGACTTTTATGAAAAATTGTGACTTTTATGAAAAGTTGCGATTTTTATGAAAAATTGTGTCTTTTATGAAAAGTTGCGACTTTAATGAAGAGTTGCGACTTTTATGAAAGGTTGTGGCCTTTCCGAAGGGTTGCAACTTTTTCCAAATAGTTGTAACCTTTCTGATAAGGCGCAATAAACATTTGTTCACACTACCCTTTATTGTCTACAAATAGAGGGGTTTCCTCTCATTTTAAAACAATGAAAATTTTGTACCTCTTCTTCTTCACAATTAAATATTTGTGTACGTTACTCCTATTGAGTGGCTCACTGACACCATTGCTTATGTTACAGATCCTGATATGTATTTTTATCGTCATTAATTTATGCTTATGTTATTAAGGATAAATGATAAGGTGTAATAATTTTCATTTTCCTTTACATTATTAATGTTTGTTACTACGTAATCTTGTATGTAAGATAATATAATTTTTTAATTTTAATGCCTAATAAATTTTAAGTAATATTTTATAAATCTCTTAGTTTTTGACGATATCTAATAGAAAGATGAAAAATGTTCATTTTTAAATACTTGAAGATTGTTTTATGCTAAAAATGATACTTTAAAGATGTAGTTTAAGTTTGGGGTATAGTTTAAAAATGTTTTTGGCCAAAAACTTGTGGACGGTTTATCAACTATTACTTAGATCTTTGCTTGAAACAGAGTGGACAGTTTATCTACCTGAAAGTCCGACGGTGCTTGACAATTTCTAGTCTTGTCTATATTTGTTCTTTATTATCATATGAGTGTTCTACTTTGCTGCTTCCTTCAACATTCTCTCTGAATTTTTCTCTTGTTCTTTATTGCTATGCTATTGATAGTTTAATTTCTGTTGTTGTGCAGTATTTTGTTAGTGTCAATTCTTTCTTTTTGGGGTGGGGTTATGGAAGTTATTATCGTTAACTAGAAATTCTCAATGTTGTCATGAGCCATGACTAAAAAGATTTCAGTTTTGTGTTCAGTGCTGGATGTAGTGTCTGTTGGGTTTTAGCAAAGTGTGAATGGGAAATAAGAAGGGAAAAAGGAAAAGTGGGGAACCAATTTTGGAGGGAAAATGAAAAGTCATTGTAAAATTGCAAATGAATAGTCATTTCTTCCATATTGGTAGAAGAAAGGAAAATTGTTGTCTTTATATTAGGAAACACTTCCTTTAGTTCTTAAAGGGCTAAGAAGAAGGTGTCTCCTTGCGCCGTCGTCGTTGCTCGGCCTCGGCCAGTGATTGAATTTATCGCCTTAGACAAGGCAGGTGAAGAAGCTGAATGGCTCCGAAATTTCTTAGAAGATATTCCGTTTTGGCCCAAACCAATGGTCCATGTATGCATACACTGTGATAGTCAAGCTGCAATAGGAAGGGCTGGAAGTGTTAGGTATAATGGAAAGTCTCATCACATACGACGAAGACATAACACTGTTTGACAACTACTCTATAGTGATATTATAACAATTGACTATGTAAAGTCAAAGGATAATGTGTCGGATCCGCTTACAAAAGGCCTAACTAGAGAGGGAGTTGAGAGATCATCGACGGGAATGGGACTATGGCCGAGAACAAGTCATCGTGGCAGTAACTCTACCTAGAAGACTGGAGATCCTAAGATTTTAGGTTCAAGGAGATAAAACAAAGTCATAGATGACGGTTCAACATTGTCAAAAAATTATTTTATGTCCATTCTCATGATGAGACAATGTTCAGTAACCAGGATAAAGTCATAAGGATTTTTTAATAGTTTCTAAGTTTGATTCAGGGTATATCAAATGGTGTATCTACGGGATAACACATTTAGAAATCACCTTTGTAAGTGTGAAGTGTAAGTTGCTTCAAGGAGAATCCTGTAAGGCCAGTTCTCTAAGCACTTATTAACCGAGATGTATTCATGGCTGAAACGAACAAAACAATGAGAACCAAAAACAGTTCAAGGGTTGATTGTATGACCAATGTTGTTTAGGTATACACCAAAGCTGGACGGTTCAAAGATATCAAATCTACCGATTGACCGAGTATATCCGATATATGTTCACTACGGAAAGTTTAAAGGGAAACCTACTTATTCAGATGCAATTAACCCTTACTTATGAGACACACAAGTTTTTCATGCATATGTTTTAAACAATAGCCATTCCCCATTCATGTGGGGGATTGTTGGGTTTTAGCAAAGTGTGAATGAGAAATAAGAAGGGAAAAAGGAAAAGTGGGGGAACCAATTTTGGAGGGAAAATGAAAAGTTATTTCTCTTATATTGGTAGAAGAAAGGAAAATTGTTGTCCTTATATTATGAAACACTTCCTTTAGTTCTTAAAGGGCTAAGAAGAAGGTGCCCCTCACACCGTCATTGTCGCTCGCTCGGCCTCGGATTTGGCAAGTGATTGATTGATAATTTTTTGAACAAAATTTATTTAATCAATCTTGTTAATCAAATCAATTCTCTTATAAATTAATTCCGAATATTAGTTAATTACGGAACGGAATTATTTGAATTCGCGTGTAACGGTAAAATTTCCGAAAGGTCGTTACTTTTTCTGAAGGGACCTGATCCTTCAGAAAAATCGTTACTTTCCCAAAATGACTCAACGTTCTGAAAAAAATGGGTCTGAACAGAATTATCTGAACAGACACATTCCTTGCTGAAAATGGCTATAAAAGGAGGTCCTTTTTCGTTTTTTCAAACACTGAAATTTTTTTCTTCTTTGCATACATTTTCTTACATAAACAAATTGTCGATCGACTGAGTCATTGTATGCTCTCGTTATTGTTCTTCTGTTCGCTGAAGTTATTGAAGTTTGAGGTACTGTTACTTCATTAACATGTTAATCCATTTTATCTTGGGAGAAATTAATCTGTAACCTTGGGTACAATGAGGGGATTAAATTTCTTAAGGAAACACAGTGATTTTTGTGGACTCGGATTTAAGTTTCTGTCTATTTCATCTTATTTTCTGTTTCTGTATTTATTTGACTAACCTGAATACATGAGATAACAGTGTCTACATTTATCTCATGTATCTTTTGTTTGAAAAATATTCTAGATATTTTTATGGGATTGTTTGAATCTATATTGCTCGGATTCTTAAAAATGTCAACAAGTATGTGTCGGATTCGCCAAAAGTAGTGTATCTTGTGTATTTTATCACTTTCTCATGTTGTATCTTGTGTATTTTATCAGAAGTATACATGAGTCATACAGAGAAAGAGATCGAGGTAGGAGAGACTCTACCAAAGTTGCACGTCATGCTAATCGTGGGATATGGAAAAGAGAGAGGGGTTGACTTCTACGTGGCAAAGAACACATACGGAAAGAAGTGGGGCTACCATGGGTTCGGAAAAATAATCCGTAGTTACACATACAGAAAGAAGTGGGGCTACCATGGGTTTGAAAAAGTAATCCAGTAGTTTAGTTATAGATTTGATTTGTCCTATTATAGAGTAAATTTTGAAGTTGTAAGTAAATTTGGAAGTTGTGATATATTTAGGAAAGGGATAACGGCTTGAAAAATACCTCAACTTTGGTAGAATTTGGTGTTGTGATACTAAACGTTCATGAGGACCTATTATCTCCCTAGACTATTAAATACCATATTTTTTACCCCCTGAACTATTTAATAGTGTATTTTAAAGGTATATATATGCCCACGTGGACACATTACTATTTATAATTTGGCATAATACATATATTGGA